AGAAAGAATCAAGACAAAAGTCTGGTACCTGAGAACTTGTAAAAAAGAACAAATAACACCACCAACATTAAGCTTACCTGTGAATATAAGCAAAATTCTGCAAAAACATGACAGGTAGATTAATAAAGAAAGTCTGTTTTCTTTAAAAACTTTTCCTCAATTCTTGTGTAAATGCTTAACACCAGTATAATTGTCCTGTTAACGATTAATGTCCAAGTTGACAAATATATAATAATAACGAAAATCTGTTTATAAATCAATCTCATAATTTACTTCAACAATAATTTGTATAAATTTATCAACTTGAAGACACGAAAATGTTTCGAGTCGAAGCTCTATTCCTATTTATCAATATTAATTACACGAACAAAAACAAAAGATTACTTACTTTCGTGAGACTTCGAATCAAAATTTTTTCAAAACTTTCTAACTGAAAAGAAACAACAATGAAAATTAGGAGAGAGCTTCATTTATTTCGGATACAAACAATACGAAAACGGACAATTGTAAAGTATTGTTAGTCGAGTATTACGTCGCGTCAAGTGCGTCACTTATTACGTCGACTTTTCTACGATAAACCATTTAACTCATCAGTACGAATGTTCCATAAGCTTTAAAAATTGTATAATTGAGATACGAGAAATTATCTGTGCGCGAGATTTCGATTATGTTTACAGTTCGTTATATCGTAAGAAATAGTGTAGCGATTATTTTGCTAAAGACTTTTAGAGAATGCACAAAGGTTAAAGGAAAATAATACAACGTGATTTTGTTCCAGAATGTTACGATATTAACGGAAACGAAAAAAAAATTCTTGTCTTTAGAGTCTTCGGATTTCGGGAAAAACGTCACAGAATGGCTAAGGTTTCGAAATTGCAGTTTGACTGAATGACGTTATCAGACATCACTTCACAAGATATTCACGCTTCTACAGTCTAGTACAATACTTCACGACAAAAAGAATTTTAAATAACACTGCACAGAAATTACTCTTATAGTTTTTTTGTATTTAAGAATTTATTTTTCATTCAGTCGTCTGTTTCGTTTCGCGAAAAATACCTCTTATTTCTTTCAGAAACAGTTCCGGATTCAAATAATTCCTCTTATCTCTATCTCTAACGACACTTCCAGTAAAACACAATTTCAAAGTTTTCCAAAGGTGTTTTCGGTAACACGGAACTTTCTTAAAAATCAATTTTTTTTTTTCGTTAATCTGAACTTTACTGTCTTTAATTTTATTCGACATATCCCTGCTAGTTTTATTGAATTCAGCTCTTAATACGTCAGAAAGTGTTTTGTTTCTAATCGATGTTTAAAACATCGCGCGATCGTTAAACGTAATTTTTTGCAAATACGAACATCTACGACGGGCCAATGTTTAGAAGCCGAAAATTTTTGACGTTTTTGTAAGTTATAGAAATAAATTTAAAACAAGTCAATAGATAGATGTGAGGGTCGGACCGAATAAAATAAAATTAAATAAAGAAGCTCAAATTAAATTAAATGTATTTATTAAATTTAAACAAAGAAAAGCATCTTTTATATCTATAATTTTATTTGCTCGAAATTTCTGAATCGTCGTGACTTATTTAAAAGGGATGTGGTTCCATTGCAGATGGAGAGAGTCTGCAATGGAAAGGATAGACAGTCCTTGATAGAGAGTCTGCAAATGGAAAGGATAGACAGTCCTTGTGTGAATTCACCTTTAGACTGCAGACAGCAAAGAGGTTAAGAGTACTCAGGGATTCGGGATTCCATCTAAATGAGAAATCCCAAACATTTTGACTGATGATTTAATCTGGATATGTATTTTGTCCCGCAACACACGGCCACCACATTGATGGGCTTGGCCAAACTTATATGTCTGGAAAGAAAAGTTTACTTTGTGTGTATGATGTAAACAAATTAAAAAATAAAATAAATACAAATAATTGAAGTGAAATCGAAAGTAGAATTTAAATTTAATTCTTTGACATTCGAATATATATAATTTGTATTCGGAAATTAGCATTATATAATAAAAACTAAAATGAATTTCAGTATCCGTCTTCAAAATTCGGCTACGACATCGAAGCAGATGTACTCCAATTTATCATTCAATTTCAATCTAGGTTGCAAATATTTAAAACTTTGAATTCCTTCGAACGGATTGTAGTAATTCTTATGTCATTTTCTGCAATGACGTCTGTCTCTGTAATTTTAGCAACCAGTTGAGAAAATGTAAACTTTAGAATCCGTAGAGGACAAGTCAATAAAATATATCCGTTCCTATTACATGCTGTTCTGTAACGATATTTCGTCTCTAATTCCAAGTTAAGAGAAAATTACAGTTATTCCTTCTTTCCTGCAATGTGTTATAGGAAGATGCAATTCGTTGATGAAACAATCTTCCTTAACAACTATTTCGCATATGAATCGAAAATTTGTATTCATTCTCCTTACTTTGTTAATAAAGTATGCACTTCGATTTACATAAGACAACCAGGAAGAAAGCAATTCATGCTTTCTTGAGCATTTAATGGCACAAATACTGTCTGGAATAAACCATGTTTCGTTGAAATCCTCATTTTGCAAGTAACACCTTATTGCATCTCTCTCTACGTCCGTTAAGATCGGTTCAACGAACACTTGAGATTCCAGAAACCATTCTGGCATTGTTAGAAATCGTATGTACGGAAGAAATGGTTCCATGACTTTCCTAAGATATTTTTCAATATTAACTCTTTTTTTGGCCCATTTTAAAACTATTGAGAAGATATCTGCTTCCTCAATAAATCGATTTATTGGCCTGCTAACGAGTCTATCCATGGTTGTTGCTTTACAGTTCAACAATTCGTCCGATGAGAAAATTTCCTGCCATTTCGAACTTATTATATTCCAGCATAAATGATCTAATCTCCAATCGTTCTGTTGAAATGCAAACTCATACACATAACATACGTCCTTAAGTCTTGATGGATCGGTCATGAATTCTCGACATACTTTATTTAAATAACGTAGGTGTAATCGATTGCTTACGCAGAATATGTCCATCGCATTTTGCATTGATGTTATGTTTTCTCCTCTTTCTTCCAGATATCTGTAAACAGAAAATGAGATTCAAACGGAATCAGAAGTAGAACGACTGTACATGATTTAAAATTTATGGTAATTACCGTTATATCAGAAATCGTTATTAATGTAAATTAGAATATGTAGAAAAAGTATTTAATAGAAAATTACATAAACTCACTTTTTGATTTGTTGGAAAATATCCGAGGAGTACGGTAAGTAAAGAAAGACTGATGTTTTGTTGGAATAAAAACGTAGCATGAGTTTTATTCTGTCGCTATGTTCACATAGAACGGATTTTGAGAGATTGATCTGTCGTTGGTCCTTGCATCGTACTGTAATTTGATCCATGATATTAAATAAATTATAAATTTGTAAGATAAATGATATAAAAAACATTATTGTTTAATTTAGAGTATTGTTTCGTTATTAATGCTGCTTCACTTCTATATGGGTAACATGACAGTCAACGTGACTCTAGGATAAGTATTAGGATTTCTCAACTCGGATCACGGCTGTTTTTTTACCTTCATTTCGAGAAATCCCGCAAATTTTATCACAGTTCACTTTTTTGTGTGTGTTTACGTTGAGAAAATTTGCAAATAGAAAGTATAATTAACTCCTAAACTGTCAGAATACGTTTGTATTTATTAATTTTAAACCTACTTATTAGTTTTTTAAATTTTTGTTTGTTATGACATCTCACAGATTGTCAATAATCAACATGTAGATTATTTGTTACAGGACTCTGAAAATTCTTTACTTGTCAGAATTTGCAATAATTTGAATAATTGCGCCGATGCTGTCTTAATTTTAACTATGCCCAGTAGCTTCAATAACTGCATTACGCCAGGTTGTGCAAATTGTGCAAGGATACAAACGACTAACGAAGTGTGCAAGTATGAAATTTTTCTTCATAAACCTGATTATTAAAGCCAAAAGAACTTGAAATCTTCCAGACTACGAGTGAAAAAACACATAACATCCGTCTTATCTTAAAAGCGTTAAAGACGATTCTTCCCACATCCATTGAATTGGAAAGGGCATTTAAAGTAGCGGGACTTTTCATTATTAAAATAATAACCAGATTGAGTGATCGGAGTATTGACCATCTTTAATTTTCAAAATCTTATAAAAATCTATAATAACATTTTGTATTATGTTTTATTTAAAAAACGAAAATTACTTTTTAAGTTAGAAGTTTGATCTAAGTTCATTTTTTCTTTAAATTTTCAACTCAATTCAAAGGTATTTTGTTTGTAAGCAGTTTTCAACAAACTTTTTCGTGGTTAACGATTCAGAATGCAATTGTGATATTAAAAATACATTTAGAGAAGTCTGCGGTTTTTACTTGCTTATGGAACAAACTAATACGAATGGACCCTAGACCATGACGTGCAATTAACTGATTGCCCCTAAAAGTCAACTTCTTACAGAAAGACAGTTTCCCTATCATTAAATGATACGGCCCGCCACTGCTAGTAATCTTAAGCACTTCACGGACGTCTTAAATGGAGTGGTATCACCTATTCTTACACCACGGTTGAAATCTTTTTGTTCGCGCTAGGCGATCACCGCCCGATTTGTACATTACATCATCGACTTATGTATTGACTAGGAATTCTCATTTTCCGATCTTTTGCTTGTCCCGGAATCAATTATATCATGGGAACTGTTTCACAGGATCCCGGGATATAATTGATTATTTTTAAAATATAAAAAATATCTTGAAGTCGAATGATATAATTATTTTTCATTTTCAAAACTAATTTAATACGTTCTGCAACCTCCAAAATCATAATATTCATAATGCTGTGTAAAATATATATTAAAATTATCTTTGAATTACGTAGAAATTTTCACAAATAGAAAAAAACTTATAAAAGTTTTTTGGAAACTGCTTACAAACAAAATACATTTGAATTGAGTTGAAAATTTAAAGAAAAAATGAACTTAGATCAAACTTCTAACTTAGAAGGTAATTTTCGTTACTTAAATAAAACATAATACAAAATATTATTGTAGATTTTTTAAGATTTTAAAAATCAAAGATGGTCAATACTCCGATCATCCAATCAGGTTATTATTTTAATAATGAAAAGTCCCGATACTGAAAATGCCCTTTCCGATTCAATGAATTTGCATTTCCAGTTCCAATTCTAATTTCCATTAATAACGTTTTCTTCGGCAACAACGATAATTACCATCAGATTTAAATCATATACTGTACAGTACAGTCGTTCTAATTATTGTTCCGTTTTAATCGCATCTTCTGTTTATAGATATCTGGAAGAAAGACGAGAAAACATAAAATCGATGGCGAATGCAATGTGAGTGGAATCGTGTTTAATGCATATATGAAAGCACAAATGTTACGTGTTTTTGCACCAGTAGCGTCGAAGATTTCTAGTTCGTTTTCGAGATGCGTGCAGTACTTCTTTGCCATTCAAGTATTCTTAATTTGTCTACTTTAGCTGTTTTAATAATAGCGGTATCAAGCTTATAGTTCGATAATTCGGAACTTCGTTTGGCTTTAATAATCAGGTTTATGAAAAAAGTTTTCATACTTTCACACTTCGTAGTCCTTTGTATTTTTGCCCAATTTGCACAACCTGGCATAATGCAGTTATTGAAGCTACTGGGCATAGTTAAAATTAAGACAGCATCGGGGCAATTATTCAAAATATTACAGGTTCTAACAAGTAAGGAATTTTCAGTCCTGTCGCAAATAAACTACATGTTGATAATTACAATCTGTGAGGTGTCATAACAAGCAAAAATTTAAAAAAACTAATAAGCAGGCTTAAAATTATAAATACAAATGTATTCTGACAGTTTATGAGTTAATTCTTTTAAGTTTTTATTTGCAAAATTTCCTCAACCTTAACACAAACAGAAACGTAAACTTTGAAAAAATTTGCGAAATTTCCCGTGATAAAAACAATTTCACGGGTTAAAAAAACAGACGGGATCCCGTTTCAGAAACCCTAAAACTTATCCTGGAGTTACGTTGACTGTCATGTTATTCATAAATGGGTCATGCAGCTTTTTTACCCTAGGCGTTTTCAGTCAAATTTGTTAATGCTTTTAAAGCAAATAGAGAGGTTGCGGCCGACGTTTTCAACGCGAAAACGTGTACGTCGAACGTTTAGCGCCGCCTTCCTGTGAGTATAGAAGTTCGACAATGGTGTGTGGATAGTCAGTGAAATCATGCTCGACGTTCCAAACATCATTGTCAAACTTCTACACTCACAGGAAGGCGGCGCTGAACGTCCGACGTACACGTTTTCGCGTTGAAAACGCCGGTTGCAACCACTCTAATATCTTTTAATTACAGATCAAACATTCGATTTAGATTATTGTATTTTCTATTCGTTTCCGGCTCATCGACTCAAGTTTACGTTATTACTGTTGTAACTAATGGCCATTTTCGTGTTTTAAATTAATATTTTAAAGATTTATGTCAAGTTTCAAATAAACTAGTCAAGTTCAAAACTATATATTAACAGTAAACGTATGTACAGTTACAAACTTCAACAAATAAGAAGTACAAAATGACAGAAATTAACAGAGTTCAACACATTTATCCACTACATCAGATCCCTCGGAAAAACACCTTGCGACGGAAGACTTCCAAAGTTAATTATCGCACAACGAGACGAAATAGTTCTTTAGGCCAGCTTAGGCGAAGTTCGAACAGCCGTGAGTTCACTTGAAGTATCCTCGGCGAGCTAAGGTCAAGCGTGAGTCCCCTTCACATGTCCAAAGCGAACTAAAGTTCCCGCCACAACTGCATCCTTTTATACCGATTGAAGGAGGATTGGATTCCACCAATCAGCGCTGCGTAGCTCTACAAGACGTCCGCCGATGGTCCGATGTTTCTCATCCAATCAGTGGTCGAGTCTCCAAAGTGGTCTGATGTCGGTTGCTATGGCGACAACGGTCGTTCGTCGTAAGATTGAAAAAGCGCGGGAAAAACCGTTTGACAGACGATTTTTATCCCGACAATTTACATATAATTTAACATTTAAATAAGTTTATAAACGTTATAAAATATACTTTTTGATATAAAATTCAGTTTAAAAAAGACCTTAAAAGTAAATATTTCATCATATCCTATATTACAGTTAATTAAGGTTTCCTCATACAGTGTAGCAGTTATGAAAGGTGACATTCCTTGAGAATACAGTCGACCCCCCTATAAGATCATAAATACGTTCCATTTTTTAGGAATCTGATTTCTTACGAGTTGTTCCAATCACAGCTTGACACGTGTGAAGTTTACGGACTACTGCTGATTGAAAGGTTTTCTTCCATAAAATTAATCGATTCTAGACTAATCCGACTCAACATTTCNAATTAACCGATTCTAGACTAATTCCACTCAACATTTCCAAAACACGTATAATTTTTTGGCTATTGAAAGTATAGCCTGAAATAATGCAGTGTGTAAATTGATTTTTAAGTTTAAAAAAAATTTAAATAATAGTTCAATTAAATGAATCTTCTAAAATAATTAAAGAATAGACAATTCAATATTAAACATATAGCCTTATGCAGCTATGTGTAATTTTGTATGTGGGTAGATGATATCAAATTTATCTTGTCTAAGAATTTAGATATGACCTGATTCTTCTTTGAACCTTAATGGTGAATAAGAAAGAAATTATTCAAATCCTCAACTGACAAAAATATTAGTTAAAATGTTAAATATTTAGTGATATGTAACTTAAAGAACATTGTTTTATTTAAATGATTGTCTGGATATTATTTTGAGTATAAACTATAAATTCGGTCATTTATAGTTTGTCTGGCTCCACAAAATATACAACAAACACTGATAGTTTAATAGTTTTTTTTTTTATTTTCAAATTTATGACGTGAATGATTAGACAGTAAAAGTATCAGCTAGCCACTTTGGAGACTCTAGTTTGGATCAGGAACTTCAGAAATGTTTTTAAGGTTGGTTTGGATATTTTGGATTTTGTCTCTTGCCATCTGGCCATTCCCATTGTGGAGCTCATTATGGATAACAACACACCATCCCAGGAAATACATAATGACAAACACAGAACCAATAACTAGTGTGAAGAAAACAAAAAACTATCTCAAGACAAAATGTTTTCTAATTCCTGAGTTCTTCAGGTGCTACAGCAGTTACCAGATGGAATGTTGTTTGGAATATAAAAGCTTTTTTGGAATAAATATAAATTTGAACTATGAGTATAAAAAATTTAAAGCTACACATGCATTGTTCTAGCAAAGTCTACTTGACATGACTGTATAGTCATTAGTTGAATCTTCATTATGTGCAGGACAGTGCATGCGCAGCTTTAAATTTTTTATATCCA